GGGGGGGTGGGACGCCGCCAAGACGAGGAGGCGGACGCCAGCTGGCATGCCTGCCCGCCGGCCCACAGGCCCGCCCGCCCGCCTGCCGGCTTGCGCGCGCGACACGTGGGGCGGCCCGGGTCGGAGCCCGCAGGCCGTGCTCTGGGGACAAAGACTGCAACAGGGTCCCAGCCGCGCAGACAACGGTGTCGACACGCACACACTAGCCCAGCTGACGGCGCTCACACTAGCCCGGCTGAAGGCGCTCACCCACTGCGACGACGATCAGCACGGCCACCCAGATGGCAATGCCCTCGATCCACTCGCCCTCCTTCCGCTGGTCGGGCAGAGCCGAGCCCAGCACGGTAGAGACCTGGGGGAAGGCAGGCGCGTGCGCAGCCCCGGGAAAACCGGGGGGTGGGGTTGGGTGGAAGGCCGCCACGTGGGGGCGGTCGCAGAGGCTCTACGGGCTGCGCTGCTCCTGCGACGGCTCCGCGCCCGGTGGGCATGCTGCACGGATGTCGTGCCGACGCGATCATCAGGAGATGCGCACAGCCACTGCCTGCCGGCCGGCTCACCCCTGTGCGGCGCGGCTGGCTCGCGCGTGCGCCAAAGCAGTACCCACCAGGGCCGCGGCGATCAGCAGCAGGATGATCGGGTCCTTGAGGTTCTCGAAGCATAGCGCGAAGAAGTTCTTAGAGGGCACCTCCTTGTATTTGTTCGGGCCGAACACTCGTGCGTGCTCATCAACACTGGCCGGCGAGCCCGCCTTGGCAGTGGGATCGAGCCCGGTGTGCTGATGCGTGCCGATGGCCTTCGCGATGCCGGCGACACCGCCGAGCTCCCGCAGTTTGGCCATATCCTTGTTCTGCGCATAAAATGGCACGAAATTGGCTTGGCATGGCTGAAATTTCAAGGTGTTCAGACCGCTGCGGAAACTACCCAGCCCTAGGCTCCTCACCTCATTGAGCGCAAACAGCACCGACGGCTTGATGTCATACGGACAGGTAGGACCATCGTCGTAGAGCGGGGCCTCCTCTTTGGGCTTTCTGCCGCAACCCATGCTGAGTGAGATGATACTCTCGAGGGGGAGAGGGGCGCACCGTAGCCTAAGGGACTGCTGTGAGAGGTGCAGAAACGAATCGTGCTCGAACAGACTCACGCTGGTAGTGATCGGCGATCGCAGATGCTCCTGCGGCCGGCCTGCAGTCACCACAAGTCGGTCACCCCACTGCGGGACCGACCAGCACCGACCTGCGGCGAGCCACCGACGATGGCGAGATGCAGCAAGGCATGCCCACATGTTTGGAGCCATGAATCATTGCAGACTCGGGGTGTCGCTGTTGCATTCAATTCCAATACCGCCGGTCATGAAGTTCAAAACGTAGCGCGGGCGCTGGTGCACATCACCAGCCCACAGGACCGGCCCAACAACTCACAGCCGCCCTCCAGCTGTCTACATGCAGACCACGCGCCGCGTCCATGCAGAAGGCGCAGCTGTTCATGCATGCGGGCCTCACGACACACCACAGGTTGCTTCGAGGGCGCGGCAGGCAGGGTGGCATTCCCGGGAGCCCCGCGGCCGCGCTGGCCGGCGTGCGCGGCGCGCACCACGACCCACATGACGCGAGGCCGCCCCGCGCGCCGTTCCGCAGCCGGCAGCTGCCTTCAGGACAGACCGCGGCGTGTAGCTGGCCTTTGTGACAGCCATCCTGCCCCATGCATGCTGCCGAAGCATCCCGCCCCGTGCTCGCCCCCCCGCCAGCGCCGCAGCAATGCAGCTGCGCCGGCGGCGCCGCCGCACTGGCCGCCTGCTTACACGCGCTCGTTGAATCTGCTTACACGTCTGACGGGGTTTGCCGCCCGCATACGAATGAGGGGGTAGGAATGAAAAAGCACCTCGGTCCTCAGGTTGGTGGCCAAAACTGCAACGCGTGCGCAAGTGTTAAAGTGCGCGCGCCGGCCGCGACTGCGCCGCCCCCGCCTGCTGCAATTCCTAGGTGCGGGGCCGGCGCGGCCGGCGGCGGCGGCGGCGCACGCTGCGGTCGGGGGTTGGGGGGTCGGTCGGATACACGTATCTGCGGTTCGTCAATGGTTGCGTCGCCGGCGCTGCTGCATACCACCCCCGGCCGTCAGTTTCAAACACGCGAGAGACTCGGGCGCAGGGCGACCGGGGGATGCGGCGCCGCGAGCGCTGTTCGGGCGGCTGCAGCCCCGCTGAGACCAGGAGGCGGCGCCGCACCGCCCGCGCCCCACGCTCGCCAACCAGAGAGCCCCGCGCCTGTGCTGCGCGCAACAGGGAGAGGGCGTGCGCCCGGGCGTTCACCAACTGGACGCCAGGAATGGGAGGCCCCGCGCCGCCTCTGCTGGCGGCGGGCTGTGGCACGAAGTGAGTAGTGGGCTCGTCGGGCCGCCTCAACGGGCCCAGCCGTCGGAAAAGAACAAAATGGTGATGCAGCCACCAAGGGACAGAGAGAAGAGGGGGATGCTCGCAAAGAGAGAAAGAGGAGGGGCGAGGCACCCGATACATGCGGCGGCGCACCACGCGCTCGCCACAGGCTGGCGCCCATGCGACCACCATCGTGCGGGCGGGAGCGCAGGGGTGGGGGCGGAGGTGCGCCGGGGGCGCAAATGCGCCTGGCACACGCAGGGGTCGCGGACGCTGGCTTGGCGAGGCGAGGGCGGCCGCCTCCGCCCCTGTGCAGTGCTGCATGTGTCCGCGCTGCGCTCCACCGCCGGCTCTCGACCGCCCCGCCCGCAAGCCGGCCCCGCTGCATCGCACCACCAAGCTTCCTGCTGCGTCCCACCCGCCCGGCGCCCGCGCCAGGGGCCGCCGCAGCCGCGGCCGGCAAGCCGCGCACATGCCACCGCGGCACGCCGCCGCGGCGCGCCCGGCCTGCCGCGCAGCCCCGCGCGCGCGCCATGAACGCGCGCGCCTCAGGCGCTCCTCTGCTGCAGCCGCGCCGCCATCTCCGCCGGCAGGCCGTCCAGCTCCCCGGGCAGCCAGTCAAACAGCGGCGGCAGCGCCTTGCCGTTGGGCAGCCGCGCGGCCGGGTCCCGCAGCTCGTCGAAGAAGGGGTGGCACATCGCCTCGTGCGCGGCGAAGCGGCGGTCGGGGGCGTACTGCAGCAGGCGA